CACGGTTCCACATCTACTCGCCATTGGACAAACTAGAAATATGGCTTTCGTTCGACACACCGTATCTACTATAGGACCAGAGTCGGCGACATTTAGCGGCCACAGAGATGACCCGCAGGGTTATTACCTAAAACGCTTATATATTTAACAAAAAAAAAACGACAAAATTTCAAGTTGCTGTCTAGATGTGCAAATGTGTATTCCATGTTCAGCACTGTGAACGTCACCAAAAGCGTAATCTGTGGAGGAATGACCAGTTGCAAGTCAGTTCCCCAGCATGCCTTGTTGGTTGCAAATGCTGAGAAAATCTCTGAGAAGATGAGACCCAGAAAATTGTTCGAGTAGCAAGATCGCATCTGGATGATTGCGTGGTGATTATGTGTAATGGTCTGCATGTGATATTTGTTATGTGAGAAGATTATTACTGAATATGTTGCCCATAAAGTAATAGCTGTACCAGACGTGTTATTGTCTTGTCCTTTCTGAAAAGAGGTTACATTCAAAGTTACAAATTAAGACTTTTCCCGTTTTTTTTTTGCGTTTTCAAAAACTTTGAGTAGTGTGAGGCAAAATCACCACCGCTCACCAACGCGTACAGCTACATAGGGCACATCAAGTGAACAACAGCTAGTTCTAAGCTGACATCTTGTAGAGAAACCTACATAATGATCAAAAAAAACCCACACAATGCCAAAAAACTACACAGTGTTACCTTTCAGGATATATAATGCTACTGCCAGCTGGCAGTGCGGCTGGGATATATTTTTTCCAACAGTCAGCTTGATGTTTTTACTTCCAGATTGGTTGAATCTGGTAATAGATGCTATCGTATTTCCAAAGAGTTTATGTTCAACTACTATCAGGTAACCAAATAAGTTCGTACGGTTTTTGGTAGAAAAATATAAATTTTTATTGAGGAGCAATAAGACACTTTTTATTCGTCAAAGTAATTACCATCACATTCAAAAACCTTTTGTCACCGTGGAACCAATTTTTGTATGCCGGTATTGTAACTCCCTGGATTTGGAGTCAAAAAATTGGCGGGCTGCATTCATTACACCATCTCGAATTGTGAACTGTCGGTGCCTCATACAGTCGTCAACAGACAAAAAAGGTGATAATCACTGGGCGAAACGTCGGGAGAATATGGCGGGTACGGTAACGTTTCCCAGGCGAGCTCAGAAATTTTTTCTGGGATCACTTTTGCTTTATGAGGCTTGGCGTTATCCTGCAAGAATATCACTTTCTTCCGATTCTTCACAGAATGCTGTTTCTGGATGAGTGCTGCTTGTACTGGTTGAAGCTCCTCACATTGCAAGTTAGCAGCGATGGTTTGACCCCTTTCCAAAAACCCATAATGGGCAATTCCAGTTTCGGTGCACCAAACACACAACAACACCTTGTTTGGGTGCAAGGAAGCCTTGGGCGTGTGTGGCACCAAATCAGTAGGCGACAACAAATGATACGAACGCTTAGAATTCGAATACAGGATCCGTTTTTCGTCGCAGGTTAATAACCGATTAAGAAATGGTTCACTAGCGTTGCGTTAAATGTTTGCTGAACAAATGGTAAGACGACTTAATTTGTTATCATTTGTCAGTTGTAGAATCAAAAGCCTATGTCAAAATGCAAAGTGTTAGAGAGTAGGTACAAAGGAACGATGTCCGTTGACTCGAATTTTCCTGGGCTGTCAGATACATGCAGTTTCCCGGTAACTGTAAACATTCGTAACCGAACGGACAGCGATGCGGCACACCAACGGCCACATCGCTAAAACGCTGACGACTGCGGATTTTAATGAGAATACGCTGAATAACTGTATTTACACCCTCAGACTAAAGTACGGAGGCTATCATCACTTCCAAAATTCCCTGAAGAATGTAGGTATAGCTGCTGAGACTATACTGAAAATACTCTTGACTACCACAAATCACTGGAGCGCACGAAAGCCTCAAGGCTGACGATTTTTTACTAGCATGTAACTGAGGGCAAATGTTTTTAATTTATAAATACATACATACATAATCCGGTTTTCATGTACCGCACGGAGTAGCGATGAAATTAAGGGACAAGGGACCTTTATGCTTTCTACTTCTTTCTATAATCTCGAAAAAATTGGAAAATGTGCTATTATGTTTTTTATGATATAAGATATTTTACTCAACTCCGTTGGTCTCTGTCTGCCTACCAGCTACACTTAACCCTGCTATAACTGAAAAAGTACATTTCGGATTTTGAAGAATTTTTCAAACAAGGCTATGCGAAGGACGAAAAAGCTTTTCTAGATAGAAAAGGTAAGAAAACAAAAAATCGCTCAAATTTCGTTTCTTGACATTTAGAGGATCCTGATCATATTTAAAAAATCCTTTAGGGGTGAAAAATTGGGAAGTCGGAGACGGTGTATCTCAATTTTTGGTCCTTAATATACTTATACATCTACAGTCGCGGCAATTCTACGCGCCTAACAGACATACTCGTATCTCACTCAACACCGATTCCCCCGTATATTTATCCTTAAGACCGAATGATGGAGAATTATTTTCAATCCTCGCGTGCCGGTCATATGCTTTGTGGTACTGCCGATGCATGTGTCAAGAGTCGGATTCCGCTTCTGGACTGTGGACCGTCGATCGTCATCAACGCTAAACTGAATCCAAATTCAAGATGAGATGTAAATAATAACAGTTAGCGCGTGATCTCTCGGTAACAGGCGGGGACAACGTCTCTTATTGGTCAATTCGCCATTAAATTTCAAGCAGTCGCCTGGCGGAATAATGTGCGGGGCAGGGGCAGGGCAGGCAGAGTTGCATTCAGGCCACCGACCGTCGCGTGTTTCACTGCGTGCTCGTGTTTTCGTATTCACCTTGCTTGGTTGTTTCTGTTGTTGTTGTTAAGTGTATTTGAGTAATTTGTTAAGTTTCTGTTTGTTATTGTTATTCCTCGTTATTATTTGTTTTGAACCAATCCTGAACATGTCCAGTACAGATACTGCTGACGAGGCTGCCTTAGCCCTCCTAGAAAGCGATAAAAAAAGACATCTTAGCGTAGACATGAAAGACGCCATATTGAATACATTCAAGATAGAGCGGAATGAAGACGAAACATCAACTAACCCGAAAATAGCTCTGAAAGTGGCAGATAAAATTGGGGTATGCCAAGCGACAGTGTACAATGTTTTGAACGAACATAAGAAAAAGCATGCCTTTTCCAAGCCAATGACGGGTAAAAATCGCAAAAGTATCATAAGATCGTTAGATGACCCTGACAAGCATGCGATTCGGAGGAAAGGGCACGAGTTATTCTCCAGAAACGAAATACCGACAGTTGATAAAGTACTACGGGAGGTTAACGAGGATGCTGTGTTACCAAATTTCAAACGTTCGACTATTCATAAACTGTTGAAGCATCTTAACTTCGAATGGAAGAAACGAGGTCGTAACAGCTTACTTATGGATAGAGAAGAAATTGTTCTGTGGAGGAGAGAGTACCTGACCAAAATTAAATCATTCAGAGATCAGCACAGGAAGATCTATCACCTGGACGAAACCTGGATTAACGCTGGGCACACTAATCCGAAGGTATGGGTTGACAAAACTGTGACTTCATCCAGAAGGGATTTCTAGATGGTCTGTTGACCGGATTGAAAAATCCAGCAGGTAAATAGACCGAAGTATTTCACGGTATCAATTTTTGCGCACAATATCTCTCTATCTTCGTACCTACAAGACTAGATTTTATCTTTCTAGGCAAAGGAAAAAGGCTCATTATTTGCCACATTGGGGGTGTAGATGGCTTCGTGGATGACGGCTTATGGTCTTTTGAGTCAAAAGAAACCACTGACTACCATGAAGAGACGAATGGGGAAGCATTCAAGAAGTGGTTTTCACGCATTTTACCACGCCTCGAAGTCAATTCTGTGGTTGTTTTGGATAATGCTCCCTATCATTCTTGCAAAATAGAAAAAATCTGCAGCTTCTAGGAAATCAGGCATTCAGAGCTGGCTCCGTTCCAAAAATATAAATTTCGACCCTTCCTTACTGAAACTACAACTATTAGATATTGTGAAACAACACAGACCAAGACATGATAAATATGTCATAGATGAAATGGCCAAAGCACACCACAAACCAGTACTCCGTTTGCCGTCTTACCACTGTGAGCTCAACCCCATTGAGCTCATATGGGCAGATGTTAAGAATTTTGTTGCTGCACACAATACAACATTTAAATTTTCTGACATGCAAGAGCTGTTCAGAATTGCTATACAGAGGGTCACCCAGAAATATGGCAAAAATGTGTGCAGCATGTTCAGGAGAAAGTGGAGGTAGCAATGTGGGAACTGGACAACATAATTGAGAGAGATTTTGAATTCATCATCCTAAACATTAATGACGATCGCTGTTCAAGTGAGTCTGAGTAAGTTTCGCGTTTTTGTTTTGTCACAGAATACATATTATGTTAATCCTAGTTATAGTGAAATATTAATTTACAGATAAACTACGACCATGCAATTCCGAAGTGCACCTTCAAAATCTATTTTCAATTGATTGAACAGCCTTATATTTATTCCATGTACAAAAGTGTCATCTCTACCCCTCGTTGACTACGGATTCATTGTGCATAGTGAGCAGCTGGTTACCTCTGGTATGTATTTCTCCATGTTGTCTAGTTTGAAAAATCTGTAGAAAAACTTAGCACCCCTTCAAGAATAAAAATTTGATTTTGCGACACCCTTAACTATAACTAGTTCACTATATTAAATAATTTCGTTAAATACTGTCATCTTTGTTTTACAACACGTTGGTGGTAGTCCATCATTCGGAGGTAGCCCTGAATGCGGCCCTGTACGCCGTCCTTGCTTTTGGCAATCACGCATACATTCTATCTTAGGTGTAAATACACTATAGATGTACACATAACTTCGGTCATGTTCACCCGCAGTAATTTTTCTCAGTGGAAGGCCATTCATCGGCATGAGATAACCTTGCATGAAAGAGTACCTGCGTCCAAAGCTCCTTGGAGAGCGATGGGTGACATATTTTCTCTCGGAAAGAAATCCTAAAGAGCTCCAAAATTGCACAGAAAAACATGCTCAAGATGCAAATTTTATTTGTATGAGCCTGATTGACTAACTCGATTCATCTATTTTCTTGTTAAATATGTTGGCATATTAGTTTTTCTTTTAGAGGGGCCAACTTGTGCCGAACATCAATCACTCATGCACATGCACTGCATTGCGTAGGGAGTACAGGGTCAACCTACTTGACGCCATTTTTGTGTTTAACCAATGTATAAATTGGTATAAGCTGTTCTGACCACGTTATCCACCATGAGAAATGCACCAAGCTCTGGTATCTAAATGTAGGGTTATCCATAAACGTTATAAATAAAGGCATGTTATACTTGAAGGAGTCTACTTAGGGTCGAATTCACTAGCATTAAGATCTAACGGGGTATTCGACCAACTAGGGAACAGTGTATTGAAATGCAATTTGATGGAAGCTGTCAAAGCTCTCCTAATATCAGTTTAGTAGTTTCTATTGAAATATTGAATAAAATAGTGAACAAGTAGTTGTTTTATAAATAAGGGTACATTCTAGATGAAAGACCAAGTCTTGGGGCTTTAGAATTAGGATATCTTTATGATATCATTTATGATCTAGAAATCCACATCAAATGTAAACAAACAGCACACTGCATTCCTGGGTCCTGAAACATCGATACTTGTAAATGTATCCGCATCCACCTATTATCCATCGTCTAGATATTATCAGTCAGAATCAAAAATACCTATTTAGCAGAATATTTACAAAGCTTCTTGTTATCCTTCCTTTGTATTTGATTTGGAAGATGTCTGGAATCTTAATTGCTTTTGAAGTTTTCTGCAGTGTAGTCGAACCGAAAAAAACAAACGGAATCGGTAATGTCGTTGAATGTGGTAATGAGAAAAATGCTGTCCCAAGATCAGTGGTGGACCAAGGACCTTTGAGTCACGCAGCGCCGTCTATGAAAAAAGCTTATTATTGTATTCAGCTCGCACACAACATGTTTTTTGAGGGCATACTTCTATGTTCCATCTTGTACAATGTGCTTACTAGTTGCTCTTTCAAAGTCCTTTGCAACCACTCTGGGAACTTCTTTTTCGATTCTTGCTTATAGGATTGTGAATATTTTAGTTTTACCGCTGAATTCATGACCTCACCCCATTCTGAAAACAGACAGGTACCTCTTGAATGCACAGAAATCAATTCAGGACCAGCGGAGTAAGGATGTGCGTTGGTAATAATAGGCAAACCGAATCTACGCCTCTCACGTGCCCGATTGCCTAAGTATGTATGCATATGTATGATCGATATGGGGCATAAAACTATGAAGACTAGATAAAATTGACTTTTAGCTCTATTTTTGCTTCCATTTCTTTTTCGGCGAGTATGAAAATATTTGAATTATATTGAAAAATCGTGGAAAATGGCGTTTTCGGTAAATATTCTCATTTCGGTAAAAATACCGAAAAATACTGTTCAAGTCCATACATAGACAATCTGAACCTCGTAATACGAATTTATATTCTAAATTCTATGAATATCCATTTATATTCGCCAATATTGCATTTGAAGCTTCTATTCCTCATAAGATTTTAGCAACATTTAAAATAGTAAAGGCAACACCGCACACTGCAGCCTAGTTGGTAAGAACTACTAGCTGTCAAGATGTACAACCCGGGGTACCGACGGTGCCATTTAGGGCGTCACGGAGTTAATTTTAAAATTCTCATTTGCATTTTTTCAAGTGTTGTACAACGATTTTGGGAAAAATTCCACTTCGTATAGTCTTATAAAGCATAGTAGACCATATTTCAATAGTTGGCCGATTTTGCTCCACACCAAGCCTTGACGGATCCCACAGAATTTATGTGTCACTTGTCGATATGGAAAGTTTCAGGAGATAATTAGCTGTTATTCTAGAGTAATGGACACAAGTGAAAAATACCGCAGTTTATTTTGTGAATTCAAATTATGTCTAGTACAGCCTAGAATGTGTACTCCGTGAAAAAAAACCTGCAAATTCAGGTTTTAGATTTGCTGGTAGCTGTACGACATATATTTGGGTATTTCTCAATCGCTGCAAATATAGTGTGGATGTTTGTTCACTTCCTGAACAACGAAAAATATTCATGTATGAGTGTATGGATGGCTTTGTGCGAATATAAATTTAAGGTGCCATAATGGGTCTGATAAACGGCAAGTAAATGAGTGAATTTTTGGAACCGAGCAATATCTATGAATTTAGTTTTTGCTAGTCTTTGTCATCAAGTAGGTGGTGGTTATCTGGCTATCTGCAAGACATTTATAGGAAGAAAGCACACGGTAGGTGATGTTAAATCAGTAAAATCCCATATCAATTGAAGAAAATAATATAAATATGACCAATCAACAATAGTATATAATAAACACGAATATTATTAAAAAATCAAGCACTTCTGATATTCTAATAAGCTGGTGATGGTTCAATGACAAGCTGTCATCTCATACTTTGACAATATTTTGTTTTCAATATTTTACAGCTATTGGTTGCTAAAATATGTTGAATGGATATATCTGACGGACTGTTGCAACATAGGTGGGAAATAACGGCTTGCTAATTTGACAATCCCGGTCAATCCTAGTCTCTATGAACGATATAACTTTTTAAGGAAACATTTCCCGCACAACCTTCATACTTACGTTGAAGGTTTGGCAGGTGGCCCTAACTATTATTATTGTTATTAAACTGCTTATAATCACAATGTTTTCAAAACTTTATCCCACCCTGTACAATTAGACTCGCATTCACCAAACCGATGACTTCTTGATAGCAAGTAGAGCCGGGACGTAGTCTACATCAGATTACGATTTTAGATTATTCCATTTAAATAATAAATTATCTGCTATGCCGCTGAGTAGAACGTAAAACATCTGTATACAGAGCATTCATTTGCTTTTTCAATATTTATCTCTTCTGCAATTTGCCGAGGTACTGAATTCAATGAACACCAACTTTCAAAGACTATATTTACATAATATTTCCACTTTGCCACGAAACATTGCTTCGCATTTTGCTTTTCAGCTTATACGTCGGATCTTATGCCAAAGGTAGATTTTTGACTTTTTATTTTTTATTTATTTTCCTCCCTTTGAAGATAGCTTAGAAACTCCCATTAAAGCGCCCAACAGACTGTTGTCGATCGCAGTGGAAAGCCAAGTAGATCCTCTGTATCTTTATGGGCGTTTCATGTTGAGTTAAGAGTTATGAATAATATGTTATCTGATACCGATGCATCGTACCTATGAATCTTTTACTATGTGTTCAAGTTAGTCAGTAGAACTGGATCAAGTTTTCCAAATTTCATTTCGTTAAGTTCCATCTTATATTAACATCTACCATATAGAAGCTACCTTTACAGCTGGACATACAAATTTGAACTTTGTAGCCCTGTTTAGAGACAATAAATACATCTTAAACGCTCCATCTAATATTTCAAAAATTCCAAATAAATCCCAGAGAAAAATTTCAAACAAATATTGTCGGGTTTGGAAAGTACAAAATGATGTTGACCTTAACAATGACCTTCATTACTATATTAAAGGTCACTTCATAGTCAAGTGAGAGTTCCCAAATAGAAGTCCCCCTTTTCCACACCGGAAGAGGAAATTGGGTGGACGTGGTCTTGACCATGAACTTTTAGGTCCCTTACAAGGTCAAATCAAGACGTTCAAGACAATTTGCTCTAGCAAAAATGTTCGACAGCACAGTTGGGAGGCTTGCAAGGTCACTCAAATGAGATTTTTCACCATCACCTTCAATATCAGGTCAAAATTTCACACGTCTAAATATGAAATTTCTTGCTCTCTGCAATCCTTGCACAAAAATCCAGGGGTTGCCTTGTAAATAACGTTTGAGCTTGACATTGTACTCTTTGGGGTCACATTTGCCCTTATCTCAAAGTTTTGTCAATTAGAGGATAAAAATTAGTAGCTTCCTTCAAAAAGCTGGACGTCTTGAAGGGTAGAGTCACGGTCACCTTTGGTGACCTCCACATACCTCACAACTGTGGGGGCGAATATTTCGCTAGAAGAAGAATTGTTTTCAATGTGTTGATTTGACCTTGAATGTTGATGGTCAAGTTCAACGTTTAAGTGAAATATCCTGTGCTTTCAAATTCTGGTATCAAAAAAGGGGGCGGTTCCATTTGGAAACATACATTTGACTTGAAATTACCTTGAACATTTTGGTCAATATCACCACTATCTTTTCCATCAAAACACTATTTTCCTTTGAACATTTTTTTCAGCGGAATTCAAATTATCCTGGGAAGCTGACATACTAAGCTTCCCTGTCAGTGAATAATAATTATTCCTTCGTAGTCCCTAACCTTTCAAATCTTTCAAATATAGCATTTCAATAACTACTCATGGTTGATTAGAACGTACCAAATTGGAACTTTGAAGCAGTTATTCATAATGATGCTGAGCAACCTCTTTCAAACATAAGCTTCACATCACTCTATTTATATCTCTATTTACAATGCAGATCGGTGCAAGATACACTGCTTCAGTTACCACTAAATAGAATGTGGAATAGTAGTGTTGATACTGCGGTGTTGGCAATAAGGGTGAAAGGTGGCATAGTTGCACGGCTCTGCCTCCCTACCGCTACTAAACACCGGTACCGAAAAGGAAGAAAGCAGCAAATCACATCGCGCGCCACTGCCGACGCGGCATATCTTTGAATACGGTGGGTTACGCGTGCACCAACTTTGTCAACTCACGCCGCGCCAGGACTAGCGTGTGATGTGTTTCACTGGTCCTTCTCTTTTCAGTACCAGAGCGTGATACTACTTCATCCCTATTTACCCTTGACATCTGTACTTGTCTCGCGAGGCATTCACAATAACACTAACAACACATTTATCGACGATTTATTATGTTCACGTTTACGTGCCTCGTCATGGCTGGAGAATTTTCATTTGTGATGGCCTTTGTTTTCCGGCAATTGTA